CACTAGTTTGTTATAATTATTAATACGAAGATCGAACACTCAGAAAACATTTCTTCGAATCCGGCCGGATCGATTTGAAAATTCGTGAGGTCCGCTGGTTCGTTCCGTGGCTTAGTTGGTATAGCGTCTGACACGGTTTGCTAGAAGACGTCGGTGATTCTAAGTGTTCGATCTTTGTATTAATAATTATAACAAACTAGTGGAGTAATTTCACATAAATAATAATTGAATATCAATTCAATAAAAATTTAAAAATTGACACATAAATAATCATATCTCTAGCCGGGGCTGGTAGCTGTAAAGGTATCTTACTGGGTGATGAAATATAATAGATTTCACATGGGTACATACGGTATGCTAGAAGACGTCGGCGTCGGTTCGAATCCGGCCCGATCGAAGGATTTTTTTCTGAGTGTTCGATCTTTGTATTAATATCCATAAACGTTGTTGGATAACCATATCGTATCAGAATACAAAACGAACGTTTTAACTCGAATGCTCTGAATAGCTCTGAAAGCGCCCTTTGATTCGAGAACGATATCCAATGGAACAATTCGGTTAAGATATGGAAGAGTTCTGAATCAGGGTCCAGGTCGGCTGTTCATCATGACTTATACGGAAAATTCTGATGAACAGCCGACCTGGACCCTGATTCAGAACTCTTCAGAAATTCAGAACTCTCAATTCAGAATTCTTAGTTTTCGATCGATATAACAAAATAGTGGAGTGATTTCCCTTAACATAATAGAATATCACGGTGGTTGAACATCATGATATTCAACAAATTTTAATAAAATTAAATTTGTGCAGGAATTACAGCCAAATGATCCAACTTTACGACGAGCTTTTGTTGAAACAACGTTGGAACGCTTTCGGAGTTTCAACAATATTCTGTTCTCCGACGAAGCCCATTTTCACATAAATGGGCATATCAATAAACAGAATTGCCGTTACTGGGCTGCAGAGAGCCCACGTGCAAAACATCAAAAGCCTCTGCATTCGCCGAAAATAACCGTTTGGGCGGCCATATCAGCGCACGGAATTATTGGACCCTATTTCTTTGAAAATGAACAAGGGCAATCTGTCACTGTAAATTCTGACCGATACATAGCCATGTTAAGGGATTTTTTCTTTCCGCAACTGCAACAATTTGAAGCATATAATCGTGCGACGTGGTTTCAACAAGATGGCGCGACATGCCATACATCTAATGCCTCTTTGGCGGTCGTAAACGAGATGTTTGCTGGGAAACTGATATCGCGCCGAGGTGACATTGCATGGCCACCTAGAAGTCCGGATCTAACGCCACCGGACTTTTTTATGTGGGGATACCTAAAAAGTAAAGTCTACTCCAATAACCCAGCAACAATTAATCAGTTGAAGACCAATATCAGAGAAGAAATGGCAGCTATTCCCCGCGCAATGTGTGAGCGAGTTTTTACCAATTTGAAGTTCAGATTCGAGGAATGTTCGCGGCGCGATGGTGCACACCTGGATGATGTTATTTTTAAGAAATGAATTTCCCGGATGTCTACTTTAATTGAAATAAACATTTGTATGTGAACTGTAGTTTTTTTATTATATTTTTTTCAAATTCGCAATTCTTTCTGGCCCACCCTGTAGAATAACGATTGTTGTAATGTGGTGTTTTCATTGAAAAAAAAAACCGACCTCAAAAGTGTGCTTATTGGTTTTTTTCGATTTCCACTGGATCCTCTCATCAGACTCTGACTTTTTGGTGACAATTGGACTGTCACGGACTCCTTTGTACATTTTGTGCTTTTTTTTCTGTATGTCATGGTGACGGTGATTTGTTGATTACATGTATTGTGTCAAGTGAAAAGTCAACTTTTATTGGCAGAAAATAATTTTTTAATTTGTGATAGCTGAAACGAACCTGGAACAGCATCGTTGGCATCACGGACCTCGAAAGTATACCTTCTCAAACAAAAAAGAATTTTCGAAATGGGCCCTCAATTGATGCAGAAATCGGTAAGTACACTGACATGCCCATAAAATTTGAGGATTTCCCTCGATTTCCATGGGGGATCCATGGAAATCGATCATCAGAATCTGATTTTGTGGAACCGCCACGAGAGTGCATCCTTTCAAACAAAAAAAGAAGTTTCAAATTCGGTCTACAATTGACGGAGAAAACGGTAAACATACATACAGCCGAACGTATAACCTCCTCCTTTTTTTGAATTAGGTTAATTAAAAAATCTTGCATTGGTATACTAGACAGTAAATAAATAAAACAAAAACTTACCCAAAACTTTTTTCGGCGGCATCTTCCTCTGTATCTTCTCTTCCCCCTCTTCCCTCATCATCTTTCCGCCCTCCTGCCACTTGCGTTTCCTCCCCTCCCGCTCCTCCAAATACATCGCCACTTCTTCCTCTCTGCCGACCAAGGTCATCCGTACGCTAGACTCCCAAGCAAATGGATCTTCTTTCCTCTCTTCATGCACAATATAATCTCTGTCACTTGAAACTTCCATCACATAGCCACGTTACGAAAAGTCATAAACAAATGAATGAAATGAATGAATGAATGTATGGGTTTCAGTTTTAAAAATAACGGAATTAGAACAGAACAAAAAACGAGTTGTATAATTTCTTGATTCCTGTGGTTTCTCTTTGACGATGACTCTGTAGTAGCTCGTTTTCGATCCTCAATAACATATTGGTGTTATAACGGCAGAGGTGGTATTGTATGTGAGGAAATATCCCAGGGAAGATTTTTCCGGTAAAACGGTTTCCAATAAGATACGATTGAGCGTCGATATACGCCTCCATGGGTTTTTCTTGGTGATTTTTGAACCGATTAGTGTCGATTCCAGGTGATGAAGCACTTCGGGTGATGCTACGGCTCCTGGAAAGTAAGAAAAAGGCAACGTTAGAATATACTGTATACTTATTTCGTAGCAGTAGAGATCCTGGTGAAAGTTCGTCCAGGGAAGCATTACTTGAAGAATGGATTGTTAGAGCGTTTAATCGTGCTTGTTTACACAAACGACGTAACAGTGGAGCTCCTTGTGAAAGAGTTCGTCCAGGGAAGCACTGCCACCTTATCTATTTCTGCCACCGAGCAGTAATGTGAGCATCACTACGTTCCTGTTTTGAAGGGTGCTTGTGAAATTATAGGCACAAGGGAATTTCCAACTTATGTCTCAAGGTGATGGGCGCAGTGGCAGTGCCCCTCAGATCTTAGCGATTTATGGACAAGCGTGTCGCTTACCATCAGGTGCACGACTTGTTCGTCCCATCACTTAAAAAAATACGAGTGTTGTATAAATGTTTCAACCCCATGAAACATTGCCGGCCTCCATGAAACAGTGCCGGCTTGATCTATCGTGCAGGGTCTTACGGGATACCGAGCGCCAAGCGCAAGTGAAATAAACGGGCTGTTGCTTCCAAACATCATTTACAACTGCACCACTTGCACCTAAGTTTCAGATCACTGGGGCAAAATATGACAGTAAGTAATCCATTTTGATCGCGTGCCCTCATGGCCCGGACCCGGGCGCTACATGGGCTGGCGCTGGAGCTGCCATGAGATTACTGCTGATCGGCCATCATTTAGCATATGAAACATGTAAGTCTTGTGTGCTTGTTGGTACGATACGCCATCATATTCAGCCGGAAGAAGATACGTCATAGTAGCAATAAAACTTCTTTTGAAAGGGTTCAGCCCCATAACTTTCTACATTGGTTTTGATTATAGCGACCTTCCCTACCGACCCTTCGGGTATACGAGAAGGCCATAACCTGTGCACGCACAGGAACCTTATAAGTTCAGGTTCGGACCCCAGATCAGCCATTGTAAAAGGTTGTCACAGACCTCTGTCACTTGATGTCATCCGGTTCTTTGAGAGACTAGTGGCTCGGGTGAGCCGCCCCGGGTGCACGTACAGTACCCTCCCTATTTTCCAGATAGGTACCGGAGCTGTAGGCACGCTCACTTCTCGTTGCGCAGTGCACAAATGGCGGTTGCCACCGCTAAGCCGTCGACTCTAAGTCCACTACCAGATCTCCTCATTGGTGGCGGAGCTGTAAGGCACACTCACTTCCCGACGCCGAAAAACGACATCTTTCCAGTTCCCAATAACCTAAGCGGCTGGAGGGACCGAAGGATATATAGCTTATCCTCTACTATCTCTCCGGGCTAGTGCCGGAGAAGCCAATCGCAGTGTCCTGCGACAATGTCCGGACATAGCTTCTAACTTAAAGGGCAACTCACGTGACCCGCGCGTCTTCTCGCTTCAAACCCTCAACTAGACCGCTACTAAGACTCAACTAGAAGCGCTAACTACGCCCCGGCCACACACCATCGGAGCAGACAAACATGTCGATCTCTGCATCTAACTACAAACTTCAAGGTGTCGATACTCAAGTCCGGGTCCACCAGAAACGCCCGCGAAGGCGTTATTACTAGCGGAGGGCTTGGCCCGGTCTTGTACCCTGGTCTTGCCGTCAAGCCCGTAGTCTCTCCGGAAAACGCTATCTCTCGGGTAAGAAGATAGGGACAAAAGGATTCGCAGAAGTGTTAGAAACGTTCGTAGAAATACTTCCACCATAACTATTTCTTGCCGTAGTAGCAAGTGGTAAGTTAGAGTTGTAGAGCCTGGAACCCCAAGACTCAGATCTTGTGATCTAGTTGTATAGATTCCAAACTCCTACAGATTTTGAGATTTTAGTTAATAAGATCTACCAGATCTTTGTAATAATTGTAATCAAATTTTGTGCTTTTCACGTATAAATAAATTTGGTAATATTATTTTAATTATCCATTTTGTACTCAAGCCTCTATTATGACCTATGACCAAGACGATAAATTTTGAATGTGTAAATGGCATAGGTGGTATTCGGGCATGGTAGATGGTTGTCGGGCGGGGTCAAGGACTCAAGGTCAACCGGCGAATGATGCGGCGCGTATCCAGCAGTAGCGCTGTCTGAAACCCAAACTTTTCAATTTGTCTTTGTTTGTTTGTTTGCGGACAAAACAATTGGGATTATTTCAGTGAAAGCCATATCTCATTCATTAACGTAGAATTTTTTAGTACACCTTAGGCTGCTAACAGATTGACTACATATTTGCAGTTAAGGCGCGAAGTCGTAATCAACTTAATGCAGCCGAGATATCGACGAATTACTGAACGACGACGAATTGGAGTTAATAATTTAGTTCTCCAAAAAAGAAGCGACTGCATTGTTGCAGGGGTTTAAGCTTCACTTTCGTTTCTTATAACAAAAAATGTTTCGAAACAGAAAATTGAAAATTTATTAAAATAAGTGTTCCCGATGATATGAAATACCACCACGGGTAGTATTTTTGGTGCGGATATCAATTTTGCACCTCAAAACAGCACAATCTGGCATTTTTGCAAAGAATGACAACCATACCATACAAAGCGAAAATGGCAGACCGAGCTCAAATAGGTCTTTCGAGACTTATAGTTGGCACCCGTCTGACGCTTACTAACTTAACCACTTCTACTGTATTTATTGTTCTGTGACAGTGGCAATCGACATTCTAAAGTAGTTGTAAAATTTGTTTTCATCTAGTCTTAATTTCCGGTACAGTACATAAAATCACCTTAGTGGATCTACCCACGCTGCATGCTTTCGTTTCTGGCTTCGATTACGTCGGCGGTGTAAGAATAGTAACAGAATAGCGTCCGTACTTCCATCTCGATGTCAACTTTAACACAGAGCTCCTGAGCGAGGGGCGATAACTACCTGCAGTTAGGGTCGAGACACAAAACTGCGAATTGGCGCGATGCGACTCGCAATGGAGAAAACTGCGACGCGAATCTCACTGCCACGGTTCGGGTATCCATTCTTTCGACGATTATCAACTGTGGTGATCGTATTTTTTAAACTAGGTAGCAGCATGGATCGTAAAAAGCGTTGCACTGTGTTGTTGATAAGAAAGTATAGGAAAAAAACGCAAAGACGATTAACATCGCAGGAATGCGCGATGCGGAGCATTCGCAAATTCTTGCGACGCGTGCGAGCTCGCAGATTTCTGCGATACGATGCATTTTTGTGTTTCGACCCATAATGTCGACTTTTTTTATAATACCAGTGACGGAAGCTATCCATAACAGTTTCAGTGCCACTCAGACCTTTCAATTGCTAAGATCTTAGGAGCACTGCCATTGCGCGCGCCTGTAATTTCTGCTTGGCGGCAGAAATAGGTAAGGTGGCAGTACTTCCCTGGACAAACTCTTTCACAAGGAGGTCTACTGCTACTAAAATATAATAAGTTTAAAATTAATAAAAAGCGAACTTGTTAAATACTTTTCGTTTAAATGTCCATCTCTGGCGAGAACTGTTGCTATTTCTCTTATTCGTGTTCGGAGGAACTTTGCTACCTTTCTCTCTCTTACCACGGTTTATTTTCGGGCTAGCACCGGACATTGATTGATTGATTCGTCAATATTTTCATGGCAATTAATGATCGTTGTTCCATAGCTGTAGCTTGTGTAATCTACTACACGCTTTGCTTTAAACTTTTACGCTTTTGAATAAAAATCTTAAGTCCTTTTTTGTATATTATAAGATCCATTGTCTTAAATGTAAAGGGAGACATGTCGTTTTCCGTACATTTTATTTTTTATGAAAAAAAAGTGCTCATTGACCACCATTTCACGTGATGCAAAGTGAGGGTGGAGGTCGACGACGGAGCTTGCACACCTATTTGTACGATTTTTTTTTATGATGCCTTTTGCAACGCGCGATAAGTCCATGGACCATGAGCAGTTGTTTTGTAATGATCTATTTGACGTGGTAGACTCGCCCGCCCTATGTTAGGCTGCCTTCATCTTTCCAATTTCTCCCACATGTGGCGCCTCTTCAATCGTCTCTTACTTAGCGGTTCGTTCAGAGCTTGTGCAAGCCTGTTTTCATGTCGTGAGATTCTGTCATCATAGGCTTTGTCATGCTACTTAGTTCCTGTTTGACAGTAGGGATTTTCAGTTAATCATGAATATCATCCATTTTTGTGAATATGGAGTATTTACCAGAGTTTTGAGCACATCATTTTGGAACCTCTGCAATATCTCCAAGTTTGACATACTGGGTGATCCCCACAAATGTAATCCATAACTCCAAACCGGGTTGACGAATGTGTTGTCTGTACGATTTTAACTTTTTAACTTTGTTGTTTCGGGTTAGCATTAGTGGCAATTTTTTTTGCAAGAAAAGTAGAAAAAAGGTACTCATTGTTCGCTTTCAAGGATCGTTGTAATAATTAACTTTAAACAATTGAAGAAGAGCATAAAGAGAATGTAATTTTATATTGTATTTGAACTCTGTTTACTATTTACGTACGAATATTTTAATTATTTGTATATATTTATAATTTTTCATTTCTTTTTAGTATTTTAGTGTTTCGGGGTCAGCATTTAAGCCGATGTTTTTTGCGATAAAATCTAAAGTAAGATAATAAAATTACAAACACGATATAGAACAAAACATATACCAGCGCACTTTAAATTTCTCACCTCCAAAGAGTCCTTTTTTATAACACAAATATCACATTCAATCAAATCCAATATGTGCACAAGTCAATATAGCAAAGCCGTATTGGCGAATAACCACTTTAAAACCGCCATTTTACGGCCACCATCCCCCAAAGGCATTACACTAATCCACCATTTTGAAACCGTTTATCGAATAAAGTATAAAATTGGTAATAATCGTTATTATTTTTAAATTTGAATTTCGATTCGAACGCGCTCGCTAAATGGAGACGGTCAAATGAAGATGGCCAGTACTTTGTGTTCATTAATGTGTTGGCCAATCGTTGTGAGTTGACAATTGACTACTTGATACAGGGTCAGAGTGGTCAAGACGATGACGTGGAGT